TCTCTCTCTCTCTCTCTCTCTCTCTCTCTCTCTCTCTCGGGGTACCCATCCCGTAGCTCCCACCGGGGTTGATCCCCTTTACTCGCGGCATTCATGAGAATCTGCGCCTCGGGGAGCGCGAGACGAACGAACGAACGAACGAATAAGTGAACAGACGGACGGAAGAAGAAAAAGGGGAAGTGGGGAGGGGAGCGGAGAAAGAACACTCTCAAACGCTCCGGCTTATGGCCGCTTCGCCTCCTCTCTTGGAGGAATCCCGCGCGAGAAATTCCTCCCCGGCGTACTCACCCCGTTTCGCCGGTAACTATCAATGGCATCCGGCTAGTAATTCTCCGAACGACTGCCGGCATACCAGTCCGTTCGATAGATAACGAGTAACGACATTTTAGGCAGGTATAGCGGCGCGGTAGTTACGGCCGGCTCTTACGGATTACGCTCTACCCGAGAGCGATCGGTGCGTTATATTTCATAGATTAAAATTAACATACGCGCGCGAGCAAGAGAGCGATGCAGATAACGCGTCTAGGACAGATATACACTGACTACCTGCCCGTCCATACTGACCACTTTGCCTCACGGCGTCACGAGAAATAGACCCCACATCGTCGCCGTCGTCGTCGTCATCGTCGTCGTCGTCGTTGCCGTCGTCGTCGTCGTTATCGTAACGCACGGTATACTGCGCGAAAGCATTCAGCGCTCATATATTTCTGGTTTCATTTACTCGTCCTTGCAATTAGGATTCCAATTAAAGCGTTATCAAAGCTTTCGTTGTAATTATGCGGTGCCTGATGGCCATTAATAATTACGTATTTACAGCCGGCACCGATATGTAATTTTCACCGCTCGCCTTTATTAAGGTTCAAGTGCCGGAGACGTAACCAACTTACGAGAGCCCATCGCTCGAGATCTTTTATTCGCGTGGCTTCAATTAGTCAAGACGCAGCGAGTAATTATACCGTATGAGCCGAGGGTATCCTTTTTCAACAACAACAGGATAGTGGGATAAATGATACGTCGGCCTTTCGTCAGTTCGCGCGAGCAAAGATTGAACTGCCGTGAAGATGGCAGGAAAGAAAAACTCGGATTTTCAGCGAGAGCCGGCGCGTACGGTGAATTTATAATAACCAAGTAACGTTCTCCACACTTTTGATCGCGCAAGAAAACGTCCAAGAAACAAATTATTCATTCCAACGCAGGCAACAGACTCTGATAAGAAGATAATCTCCCTCCGAGGATCCTTTGCGATTTCAAGATCATTAATTATGCTTTAAATAGGATCATAGATATTCATTAACTCGATGTTGTAGCTCGTCATCAAGAAGAATACAACAACTTATAATGAGCTCGGATGACCATGATTAATGACCATGCACCGAAAAATGTATTTTCGGACTGATCTCGATGCATCTTCGAGAACGGAGAGGATGAAAAGTAGATACACTATGTATCGCGAGTCTCTTACAGTGTTGAACATTAAATCTATAATTGTATCTGGCCACACACATCATTGTGTCATGTCGCTTCAACGAAACGTACTTTCTCCCGAGAACAGAGTTCAGTATTTACAACTGTTGATGGAACGGTTCATAATTGACAGCGTTTCGTGAAAATAGTAGGACAGGAGAGTAATTTCATACACTCTCTTTCCTCCTGCTTCCCTTTAATAGCTACGAGTCAGAGTGGCATTCTCGTAAATGATAGCAAACGTTAATGTGGCGCGCACGGAGCGACATTTATGCTCAAGTAGTATCTTCATCAGCTGCGTACCGTAACCGAACACCGCGATGACTTCTTTGTTCCGTGTCTAAGATCCGCAATGATGAGCCGCTACCGCAGATATTAACTCGCGCATACCCACGAAGGAAGCGTATTTGCGGTAACAACGCGGAAATACTCTCTCACCCTCTCTCACCGGAGTTTCTGTCAAGGACAAGTTACGTAGACTATGGGAATTATTCATGAGCAGTCGCGAAAATCGCCGGTCGTTCATTAAACTCCAGAGCATTGGAAATCTGCGTAGTCTATGCAAATTATTATCGCAATTAACGTGATCCTGAGTGTCGTAGGAGGAAGAGGAGGTCACCATCGTCTGGGACTTCGTTACTCCTCGCACTTTTGGCGGTCGCAAGTGTATCGAATGCACGTGCGAACCCTCGCGAGAACATTTTCTCTCCGAGCACTTTACCATAATTATTCCTTGACTTTGATCCGCAGTAACAATATTAATCTCATCGTTTGTTACAATAGACGAAACAAAGAAAGGAATAATTTGATCGCGAATGAAATCGCCACCGCGGAGTTAGTGATAACTAACCCCGTACAGTAATCCGACCGGCCAATAAACATACTTTGTAGCGAACGCTGTCCGTCATAGTATTTCACTTGCACTTTTGGCAATTCCAAAAACAGCACCTACTTTTTTTCTATTGCCTTTCCCGATCATCCGTTAAGCGTACGATGGAATAGTCAGCTTTAGGATTGTCTCTTTGATAAGATTGCGAGATTCCCCTTAATTTGCGAAACTAGTTCTCTATAAGTATAATTTTTGCATATATTATGTTTCTATCTACGCCATTAAACGCGCATTTCTATTATTATACCCAAGTAAAAATGTATCTAGTAGAGCAGATTTCAAGACTAGTAGCTAGATAGTAATGACTAGATAAGTTTTTTAGCCAGTCACCAGCTTGTGACTGGCTAAATATTCCTACTCAGTCTTTTGAATGTCAGGACTTTTGAATATCTAGTGACTATATCAATTACATAAATAATAGCTAGATGAAAAAAATTACACAGTAACGAGATAGAAAATCATCGGTAAATCCTGAATAGAAATTGGATATCAGAACTGTCTAATAACTGTACCAATTATAGTTAAAAGTTACTTTTTTGTATCCAGCTACTAGATAATTTTTTTGGTACAGCCACTAGGAGAATTGAGCGTTACATTCCTAGCTAGTAGCGATGTAAGACTCAACTTTTCTGTATCATTACTAGACAATAACTAGATTCAATTTTTGCTCGGGTAATTACGATAGCCTCAATGAGAGTTTGTCAAAAATTGGAGAAAATCCCGCAGATCTTACGATCTTATGAATTTTGACAGTTCGGACTTTAAACGCTGTGACAGTTGCGAGGCTCACGAGAGCAACGACCGCGTGGCCACAGCGAGCACGTTATTGGCCAGCCAATAACCACACTATATATGCCGCGGAGTGGGGGTAGCGAGCCGCGGGATGCCATCGAGTACACGCGAGCTGTCACTTTTAAGAAAAAGTCTGTAGAACGCGGCTATATTGTTTACAGTCATGCGTCGCGTCGTGACGCACCCCACAGTGCGCGAAAGGGGTAGTACCGGCCGATTCAGAACGCGGATCGATGCAAACGTCAATAATTCCGTTTGTAAACGTCGTAGCGACTTGAAACAAAAACTGTTGGAAAGAGGAAATTACTGGGTTTGCGACGGACATGGAAACGTCTTTCTGCGGAATAAGGATCAAATACGACGGAAGGAACGGCGACTATCGACATGAGGATATCTGTACTGAGAGAAAAATATAGTTGCTTTTGACGTCAAGTATACGCTTATATGATTTTAACCACAAAAATAGTTAGAAGAATCATTGTTTTAGTACGTGTTATTAGAAAGTTGGGTAAATGTTTACCTTTACACAGCCAGCTCCAAATGATTTCCGAGTAACCTTGATGTTGATCTTGACCCTCAAGGAGATCAATGCTATTGACCTTTATCGGCGCTCATTGTTTGTTAAAAAGTTATTAACAAAAAAAGTTTTAGAAGATGAACGTAATTTCTACACACAGTGTATACGGAAATACGGAAATATTTGCGCGTCTTCTATAGTTTCCGAAATATTAATAAAATAAGTAACACACACAGTTTTGTATGTACAGTGTCCAAAAATTACATTTATTTTATACAACTTCTTTTGTTAATAACTTTTTAACAAACAATGAGCGCCGATAAAAGTCAATAGTATTGACCTCTTTGAGGGTCAAGGTTAACAACAAGGTTACTTGGAAATCATTTGAAACTGGCTGTGTAAAGGTAAACATTTAAGATGGTTCTTCTAATTATTTTTCTGGTTAAAAGATGGTTCTTCTAATTATTTTTCTGGTTAAAATCACAAAAAAAGTATAGTTGACGCCGAAAGCAACTATATTTTTCTCTCAGTATGGACAGGGCGTGTACTATTAATTTAGGTAAGAAATAAAGTAAAATTATCAGTACTCGAACATGTGCCTCTAGTCCTGGACATTCTTATTACTTTGGTCTTTAAATACAAATATTTAAATTTCTAAAACATAAAATAAGTATACATATATTCTATGTTAAAAATTGTAATATTCGTATTTAAAGACCAAAGCGAATACTTCGTGTCCGGAAATTGGTGCTTCTATTTTGTAGACCAATTTGCGGTAAGGGAAATGTTTCGAGTTATATATACGGCTAGACCACCATTCGGCTCATATATACGTAGCTGCTTTATTTGTTGCTTATCATCACATCTTAGAACGCATCAGCCATTTAGAACAAATTAACAAATCCTTCCAAAGATACTACTTTAGTTAATTACGAATGTCACGGTTCCAATGCGAGCTGGTATAAAGCCGAATACATCCGAAGAAGCCACGGCGAAAGTATCCAAAGCACCATAACTTTCTTCTTACCGCTAATTAAACCGAGCTTCCCCTCGTAGAATGCACCGGAGACATTCTTATGTCGATGGCCGCATATATTAACTCTCGCCGTGGCGGCGGAGCGTCGGACGAGCGGACATGTCATTGTACCTTGAATGAGTTTATCGCGAGTGGACGTGCCACCGTCCGGTTCTGCCACGCAACCGGTCGTTTTTCACATGGCATATACGCCCCTGCGCGCCAGCCTCTACCTCCATTTCATTTTTGCGCGCTCTAGGCTACGCTGGTTCAGGTTATGGAAATGGGATGACTAACGACTAACTCGCTTCCTCGCCGGGTGTATATAGCAGTACCACTTTCTACCGGCCGATAACGGTAATCCTTGGAATTTGGGGGATACACTTCCGGTATAGCGGTCTGCCGGAGAGACGAAGACGAGAAAACGTTCCTCGGGAATTCCGCTGCGCTCGCCGATGAGATACGCGCGCGGTGAATATCAATATTGCGTGATAAAGTGTAACGACGAGCTTTCCGATGAAATTGATATCGATTCGCCCGCGGCGAAAAATTCCCAGCCGCCGACCAAGTTGCTTGAATTCGCTTAATTGCGACCCCAACAGAGCTAGAGAAAGAGAGAAAGAGAGAGACGCAACTTTTATATGCATTCGCGAAACGAGGAAGAAAATGCAGCCATGATCTAATTTCCAGATGGATGTAAATTAATACCGACGGAAGGGAGCACAGGTGCAACATAGGCCGTCACCCAGAAAACGCGAGATTGAATCCGTCAGGAGCGATCATAAAAAATAATTAGAAGAATTATCATTCGTTGTCGAAAATTATCTTTAAAGGGCCTCGAATCACGCCAATCTTGCGATACGTGCTGGCATTCGCCGGGGAGAAAACCAGTTGACCGAGGAGGTCGTTCTTCTTTTACGGCGCGCATATCCGTTCCCCCTCCCCTCCCTCCTTCCCTTGTTTCCCGTCTCTCTCTCTCACGGAAAAAAATCCCGATACATCACACACACTCGCTCCGCGTCGATTGCTCGACAAGAAATTGTCGAGGCGCGTTATATATCCGTGCCACATTGTTTTGAGCTTTGCGCAGAAACTGAAACGTCCAACTAGATCAAACGAAACGGTCACTAGAACGTAAACAGTTGTCGGCGCCCGTGTACTCGCTAAACGCGATTAAAAGAAAACTTCTGTCCGCAACTACGAGCCCGTGTGCCGTTGACAATCGAAACAAAGACGAAATGAAATTCCGCGGTCGGGTAAAAAGTGTATTCCCGCGCAGGCCGAATCGCCGGCGCTTATTAAATGCTTCGTAATTGCGTGAGCAACGCTCGGCGCTCTTCGAAGGAACAAAAACCGCCCCTAAGTGAATTAAAAGTGTAAAGGCGCCTGTCGCTTGCTGGGGAATAAGAGAGAAATACGGCGGAGCGAAAAGTCACTTGGTCGTGCCGCGCGGCGCCGACAGAAAGAGTTTAAACAGATGGTAATAGAGCAAATAGCCGTGCTAGGGCTAATTTGTACAACGTCACTTGCGTTATACGTCTCTCTTGCTGCCTCCGCATATATATTTAATATCGTCCCCGAGGGAAAACGCAGACGGTTACGAAAACGAAATCTGATGCGCACGTGACACCGCGGGGCTAGACGAGTGCGTGAGCTCGTAAAATGAAATTAAAGGCGCCGATAAAACGCAAAGCGGCATAACGCTAAGCGCTAAGCCGGGGAATATTTCGTACTATATTTACGAGATCGCGCGCGAGACACGCGCGAGATGAAGGAGAGCAGCATTTTCGTTGACATCGGGGAGCCCGCGTCGTGGCGAAAACGCCGACGGCTATGACATACTTCCGGTTTATGGATAATAACGAGACGAGACCAGTCTGCGCGCTTACAAACTGCGTGCATGCGAAACGATGTACTCTCCTTCCGCGATTCCCAGGGCTCACTCCCGACTCGACCGCTCGCTCATACCGAGCTCAAGAGATTACGTCGAAGAGTATCCCGTGTACAACGAGAGGTTCACGGGGCGAGGACGCCCTTTTACGATCGCGCACGCATCGGATCGGTGGCGTGTCTTTACAACGTCGAGATCTTTACGAGGCCGGCTGGTAACACCTTCATCGCTTTACCGCCTTGCAATTTAATTGAGTAGCCGTGATCGAAAGTCACGCATACACTGAGAGAGTAAAGGTTTTTGCTAATTTAACAGAATACCAGTACTCGTAACAAACTGGTTTGTTGATATGGGTTAGCAAATGACCCCATAATAACGTAGTGGAAGTGATTTGTTACTTGCAGCTTGCTGATCTAAGTGACACTTCTGTAATGGAGACATAATTAACCTAACCTAGCCTAAATAGACAAGAACAAATGCGATTTGTGTGTCAGGCAGTGTCTGTTAAAATGACAAATGATGAGAAATGATTTGCAGTGGCGACTGTTCGGTCTGTTTCCCTAATGATCATCGAACGTGCTTTTGTTCTGATAAACGAGAGATTTTTCTCAATGTAAGTGAGAAAAACATGTCTGATATTTACAACTATAGTCACATAGATAAATAATTAGTATAAATCATATAGTCCGAAAAATCATTTTTTTACTAAATTCTACTATAATGTTAGTAATAATAATCTTATATGCACGTTACTACTACCGTTTTCGTATTAGGACAAGCAAAAAATATAGTTGGAGTAAAAAATAACTATAATTTTAGTGAAACCAACCATTTTTTTTTTCTCAGTGCAGATCAGCAGCTGTGAAACGCCGCACTCGTTCGAGTTCCGTTCGAATTCCGTCTAAACGTTGATTTATCAATACGCGACGCGGGCAGCATTATTTTCTTGCGAGAAACTCAACGTTTTCTTTTTGCCGGGAAATATTTTTGCGAATCTCGAAAGCGCGCTGTACTTCACTTTTGAGAAAAACTGCAAATGGATTCGTTATCGGAACGCATTAAAATCGGACACGTCAGGTGGATCGATACGAATCACATAGCGAGTTTTACATCACTATGTCATTGTCATGAGCGTCCGGTAGACGATATTTTATTCGGCGGCGAAAAATCAATGCAAACAGGTTTGACGAGTACTGCATTGTGGCATCGCAAGTAGCAGCCGCATCGCCCCAATCACTCTTTCTCTCTCTCTCTCTCTCTCTCTCTCTTTCTCTCTCTTTCTCTCTCCGTTGTAATTTTCTACTTTACATTTAGTGTACAGTTAGATTCGCGCTGAACTGGCGAACTTGACGCGCATTATGCCGAACGTGTGATTAACATTTTTCACCGCAACAATCAAGTCCCGTCCAATTTCCTCATTCGTCTTGCAGTTGCGCTCGGCGACGAAAAAACTCAACATGTAAATACCCGCGATAAATAACCAACGATGCGTATCATTCATTAAGATGAGACACGGATAATGATTTCGCGCGAGATAGAGCCATAACCCTAAATAACGCTGTAATGTTTCCAACGAAAGCAACGGCCGTTAACGATGATGTACAACACTTACGCGTGATAAAGGAAAAATTAATTTGTATCTTCATTAATCAATCTCCCTCGAGTTGAGGCGGGATCCGACGGAGCGACGGAATCCGCGCGTGCGAATCCATCGATCAAATTTACGTAATAATTCGTACGCGATACGAATCTCCGACTGTTATTTCGCGCTCGCCTCTCCCGCGTAATCACTGGTTGGTGCTTTCTCTCTCTCGCTCTCTCTCTCTTTCGTTCCTTCTTTATGAAATCTATTTCATACGCAAACTGTAGCGGGCCCGATATTCCGAAGGGGAGCGATCTGGATTTATCTATTACCCGGCGGACATAAATTTCCAGCGCGATGAAAATACCGTCTCACCGCGTCAATTACTCCTGGAAGACACGTGGTCATATATCCTGCCATAACTTCGTCCTGAGTGGACTCGCCACTCTTCGGGTTGTCAAATAGACGTGATTATCGGGTCATTATTGCGGATCGAGCCTATTGAAGTATCAATGAATCGTCGGGCGAATATCGCCTGTTTAGCTGCACGCAATTTCGAGAGCCGGCCGGCATAAATAAGCCTGGAGTGTATAACAACAGCGGACCAACGGCGTTTCGCACGGCGCGCGGCGAGCCGCCGACGGTTTGCGTGTTGACGCGGCGATTTTCTAGCGTATGGCTCGAACCGCGCGTTTCATCCACTCGACAGCTCATCCTTGATTCTCCCTCGATCGCTCTCGGCAATCAACCGGATACCGCGACGCAAAAAGCGACGGAGGGCGGCATCGCCGCACGAAAGAAATTCGCAGAGGCGTCCCCGTCGCCGCGACGATAAATCAGGTGGCTACGAGCTACGAAACAGAAAGAGAGAGAAAGAGAGAAAGAGAGAGCAGATCGTCGCCGCTTCGATGGGACACGGAACGTGACAGTTCTTACCATATAAAGCGGCCTTTACGAGTACACTATAGCGGCCGATTCGCGATCGACTGGACGCGAGAAACTGGACGATCTGGAGTGCCGCGAGTGTGGGAGGAGAACGAGGGAGCGAACGAACGTCTCCTCTCTCTCGGA